GACTTTGGTTCTGATCCATGTTTCAGCCAGCTGATTGACATAAAATAAAATATTATTAGTAAAATGTAAAAGGAGACTTTTTTAGATATTACAGCAGGCACAAAGCAACCGGTGCGAACCATAGGCCTGATATAGTGACTGTTGACAGACGGTTTCTTTTTGTACTCAAAAGAGGGACAAAAAGGACCACAATCCATTTGTCATATTGCAGCTCTACATTTGCATAGAAATATTGTTACATAAACGCAAACAGTGCATCAATTTTGTTATTGTTTTTTTTTTATAGCCTCGGCAACACGAGTCAAGTTAGCAGCAAACCTTCAGATTTTTTCAACAAATAGCTAAAAGGAATTAAGTCTCTATGATTATAATCCCTTGCAAAAGCAAACAAATGAGATGCAATGCATTATTGTCTTGGTTCCTCAAATATTGTTTTCACCACATCTACCGAAGTGTGTGTTAATTGCAGCAAGAGAGTTTTAGTTTTAATTTATATTAACTTTTTTATAGATCCGAGTAAAAGGCAAATCTCAAACGTGTCTCTTTTTCTAGCTGCTTGTGTCTGATGTGGCATCATAAAGCAAAACAACTGGATGTTGCCAAGATGAAAGATCAACGTTACAAAATGTGGTTTATCAAGATGTGGGCACTTCAGATTATTTACAAGGTCTGTTATTCAGAGTAAAAGAGGCTTGTGAGTATCAACTGAGAAGATATGAGCATTATTATAAGTCAATAAAAATAGGGGTAAAATGACAACACACACATCAAATACAACCAAGATGTGTTCTAATGTTTGTATGCTTTTACTGTTATTTTTTGTTAATTAGTTTGGAGTCGGACCAGTTAGGAAATTTCTTTAGTTAAAAACGATTTATGTTTTTTTTTTTTTTTTTTTTTTTAATTTGCACTGCCAATTCTGACTTTGACCCTTTTTTAAAAACCACTATATCAAAAGGAGCAAAAATATGTGCAAAATATTTCTGATGACAAAAAAAACAAAAAAACAATGTGATCATAAAATTTTCATATTTATATGTCAGAAGATCTGCCACTAACATTTGTCTAATTTTTATTAAACTAAAAGAGCAATTGGTGTACATTAGACGAGGGTATGGTGGAATTTTTAAAAATGTATATATGTAATTAACAACAAAACGATAAACAAAAAAACACACACACACTCCATGATCAGAGCTGTAGCCAATTAGAGGAACCTTTTGCTTAAAGTCAAGAATAATTTGGCTCTGCATACAGCAAGTTCTTTCTTACTCTAATATTATGTTACAAAAATAGAATTGACGTTTCCCAGCTGGGTCTTAAATGTGTTTCATGTGAACAAAACAGTAGTAGGGATTTAGCATCAGCAGTGACTCACCTAAATAAAAGGGAAAACCCAGTGGTTAGTTCACATTCATTGTGATCTACATACCATCTACAGCATTAGCGGATGTACTTTTCCAGATTACACAAAACACAGGCCAATACAGCGATGAACATTGCACATTCTAGATGGGGGGGTTGTTTTCCTTCTTCACAAACCAGTGGGCTCCACTCAGTGTTTTTGTTTTTCAGTGAAGCCTGTCTTGAAGTGCTATGACTATTTCCTTGGTTATCAGCCCAGCTCTGGACCAACAGAGCCTTATTTCTCATTTTGGTCTGGACCTCATCCGCTCCAGTTCTGTTAATCACAGGTTTGCTATGAGAACTGTGACATGGAGAGCATTCTTTTTTCTTTGTTTAAGCAAAACTTCACTCTAGCCTGCCTTCTGCCCGACACACAAACCCTACCCTTTAACTATTTTGCTCATTTTTTCCTATGAATGATGCTCACATCACCTTCTCCATGACAGCTTAGATGAGAACGTTCACCCAGCCTCAGAGTCTTCTTTCGCTTAGCTTTCCTTGACCTTTCACTTTGAGTTAACTTCAGTATACTTCGATGTTAATGAAGGGGGAGGGGGTCTAAACTACCTTCTCACATGCCAATCCATAAAACCTTTAGTCAATAATGATTATATGGCTCTAAATGCTTTGGTAACAGGGACAGAATGCGTGCTAAAACATTAAACTTGTGGTTTATTTTATCAACATTAGCCAAGCTACATAAGTGATAGATGTTAGAAACAGTTACATGGCATGTTATTTTTATAGTAGTGTTCCCTCCCTCCCAATTAAAATGCTGTTACTTTAGTGATGTGGGGCAGCCAACAATATACACATAACGTTGCATTTAACAAGAAACTTTAAAGTGATTCTAACAATCTAAAGGATAGTAGGTAAGCTACCTGCCTAGTCAACGTACTGAAGAAAGACTTAAGTCTCACTCCAGCTGACTCAATCCTTCAGGTTTCACAGCTGGGCTAAAGTTAGCCAAAACACACGTAAATAAAATAGAGAGAAAATTAAGTGGGTTTAAAACGAAGCTTACCAGGAAAGAAGAGTCAGACAATTAATTCAGGGGCAAATGTTCGTACTCCGACGAAGCTACGAGTCCGCACACAAACTGCACCAGACGCCATCCCATCCACAAAGCAACATCTTGGATTGTAGTTAACTACACGGCGAAGAAGACAAGCAACAGGTCATGCTACTCATTCCACGTTAATGGTCCTCTACGTGGAATTAACTTCAGCCAAAAGTTAAAAAAAAAAAAAGTTACATTAAAATATTTTTCTATTTCTTTGGGAATCCAGTCTATTCGCTTCGGCACAGTTACGAGCTCTCCTCCAGCGAAACAAAGTTACCATTTCTGCGGAGCAGCGGAATAAGCCCTCCCTCTGCCAGTTTAGCGTGGGCTGACTGGGAGTAACCGGACACCTAAGACTGGCCGCTGATTGGCTCGCTCCTGGGGGACTGTCATTTTAACCATTGCCATGGCAACACACAACCGGGAGGGAAATGTTGAGCAGAATCTGGTTTATTAAATTTTATGTGGTCTACAAATCCCCTCCCTTTAATTACCATAAATGTAGCATGACATGAGACAAAATAATAAAACGTAGACAAACACAAAAGAAGTAGCAACAGATGGGAACGTTTTTTTGGCAGCGTTCTAGCTTATGTACGAAATTTAAATGTTTTGTTTTCTTTTTGTTTGTTTTTTTGGGGGGGGGGGGAGGGGGGGGATTAGAAAGGATCATATCAACAACATCAACAGGCAACATTTTACAAGTTGTATACAGGTTTAGAAAAAAAATTGCAGCAAAAAAAAAGAAAGAAAACTCCTCAATTTTCCTGGGGATTATATTACATATAGTAACACAACATACCACCTCTACACCTGTTGTTGCACCCTTGTTGACAGCCTAGAAGAAAGGCTTCTAAAGATTTTCCTTACTCACAGAAAGATGCCTTTTTGAAAGTCATTACAGATGCCACCTTATCATATAGCATGAATAATTAAACTGTTCATATCACCAGAAAGGTTATCATACACTTAGAGTATAGAGCTAGAGTATTTTTTATCACAGATTTCTTTGTCGAAACTATCATTACTATTTCAGCAAGTACCGAAACGATGTAGTCCTATTTATCTAAAAATCATTTACTCATTGTCTGTTTAATGATTTTTATTTTGTATACATTCAATATTAAGTTCATTTTTTCCTCAGTGGAAGCAAACAAATATACATAGCTACACTCGAGTGGTATTGTATGTGGTACGTGTATGTTTTTATGTTTGCCTCTAGTATAAATAAATAAAAATATTAATCCATCCATCTGGTGCCTGTAAAGAAAAAATATGGTCTATATAAATTGAATATATAAATTGAATAAAAATATATTTCTCTCAGTTGGTGGTGTATATATGCCTTTCACCAACTTATTCTTGTAATCTGATCTGATCACCACTTTCTGTTCATGTTGAGATATATTATTCTATGAAAACATGCTTTTATCTCTTTTCATCCTGTGGTTGTGGAAGCCGATATTTCTTTGAAAGTCAGTGAAAATCGAGACTGGGCTTCCCACAGCATCAAAGTGATTCATTTTTGGCACACTCAGGAAGCAATCCACAGCTGAGTATTTCCTTCCCGCGTAGTACTTCAAAGTTGAGTTTGTTTATGATCTGTCTATCGCCATCTAGTGATTATTAGTCATTATTACATGGCCCTTCACATCGTTGTGGAGTTAGCTGACCCTGACCATGCATGGTAAATGGAGTAAATATCAAGCCTTCCCCGAAATAACAGCCTATCTACATAAATCATTCTGAAGGGATAAAAAACTGACATCACACTTATTATTGCATGTGTGGGTTCAGTTTTCACCTGGGTAATTATTGTACTAGTCACCTAGACCGTTCAAGTCTTACATAAGGCAGTAACTGATTTACACTGTGATTTGTAAAAGGGGACTGTAATAGCACAATTTGATATTTTCTAATAAGCATCTATTAAAAAAAAGATTTCTAATAGGAATGTTTTTGTAATCTTCATTTAAGTGCTGCATGCAAGTTTATAATATAGCAAATTTATTTCGGCATGTTTATCGACACTTTCCAATGTTCTGGATGCAATTTAATTCTTTTAAAGTTCTGCTCAAAATATTTTTCTTTTCTTGCCTTTTGACTGGAATACTATAGTCATCCCATTATATTGCCTTTTAAAAACTATGCAATTAAACTAACAACAAAAAAAACAAAAACAACAAAAATATTGATGATAATAATATATTTTATGCTATGAAATGTCATTTTTCCTCCAATGAAGGACTTTGCTTCTTTGTACAACAAAGATTTTGCTGTTTCTTGATCAACATTTGGACACACCCGCCCCACTAACAGCTGCACCACCCAACTCCAAATTCCTAATTGAATGGCTGGACGGCGCAGAGTGAGAACAGAGGAGATACTTCACCCCTCCCATCTGGAGGGGCAGCCTCCATGTGATCTCTTCCTCTCCGCACCGTCTCTCTCCCTCTGCCGAGGCTTTGACGTCAGACGTGCTCCTGGGCGGTTGCTATGGCAACATATTTCCCCGCTCCCCCCCTTTTTTTTTCTCTCATCCCTCCCTCTCCGTCCTCCGAGCTCTGGTAGGCTTACAATGGTACGGCCAGCATCTTGCAGCACAATGGTTGCAAGGTGGTGAGCTGGGAGGGAAGAGTGATTCAGCATCAGCAAACCTCAGTTTCCGTCCATCCCTGCTTTTTTTTGTTTTTTTTTTTTTTAGTTGGTTTTCTTTCTTCATCGCTCCTTCGTCTTTAAGAAAAGAAAAGAGGGGGGAAAAACGCCTTTTGCTCATCCGCATGAACGTGTTTATTACGCCTCCAGCGATGGTCACTGCACTGTTTCTCGTCGGGATGTTTTGAAAGGGACTGGCTCCGGACTGGGATCGTCATCAGCTGGCACGGAATGGTAAGGCCGCTGCAAATTGTGAATCCCCCCCACCTCCACCTCCACCGCATTATAGTTGCCAGGAAGGTGGAGTGATGAATATTGATTGCAAATTGAAGGTTAATGAAGTCCACTGTAGTGTTGTCTTGGTGAGGGGATTTAATAATAAGCAGAAATCCGCCCATAGACATTGTTTTACAAGCGTCTCTATGGAAATGCCTAAAACATCACAGAGCTCCTTCATTGGCTGAACTCTACTTGCAAACAAAGACAAAAAAAAAAAAAAGGAACATCACCTAATGGGGTAAAAATTTCTCCTTTTAAGAAGCAGACAAAATACTGCAGTTAGTCATGATCTATAGATATATAACTCAAAACCTTTTACAAAATTGCAATATTTGAACATAAAAGGCACAATTTGCATTTCTGATTAGGCATCGTTGGATGACTAATCTTCTTCATAACACAAGTCTAAGTACTGTAGGCCATCATGCAGGGCTTGCTTGTCTCTCCACCCCCTCAGAAGTCAGCTGCGCACCTTGTGCATTATGCAGAGAGCATCACTACCTCTCCAGGATGCCGGACCAGCTTTGGATCTTTCATAAGTCTCAGAAAACTATAGATAGTACAAGTGTAGTGCTTTCAGTCAAACAGTTGGGTTAAATGGAAAAAAGATTGATTTGGGACATTTTATTTTGGTATTCTCCTTCTCTGTTGCGGTTTGGATGCTGCAGCTGTTACTGTTCGCGGTTTATGTGAATTTCTTTGGCCTTGTTATGAAAACTTGACATGTAAAATGGATAGGACATTTTTTAACCATAGTCTTGTGTTGTGTTCTACATAGTGTTGTGTGAATTACCTTTGTTTGGGGAATTTTATTGCACATCACTGTGAGTGTAATAAGGTGCCTTTGCACCTTAACAAACTGCATTAAAGACAGATAAGAGCGGGTTTTTAGCGCCATGACCTTGGCTGCTGAATTATTCAGAAGGCAGGCTTGGGAAAGAGCTGCAGGGAACGGATCTAGATTCACCAAAGCTTTACATGGTTTGTTTCTGCAGCAGCTGACCAGAATGACGTCTATCTGTCATTTTTGTGCTTGGCCTACTTAAAGTGTATGAAGAATAGTGCTTTCCAAATATTGGAAACTAGCTATTTCTTGTGAATATAAATTGATGTTAATTTTTTTAAGTTGCCTTTGCAGGTCTGCTCAAACTGGCAATTAATGGCATTGATTTCTGAAGAGATAGCTTGTTTATGCAATGCTGAATCGTTAATGGAAACAGCCACAAGCAAAGGAATGTTATGCTGTGCTTTAAAACTTGTGTTTAATTTTCATTTTGTTTTTCAGATTTAGGAACACCAGAATGTCCATCCTTAGTTATAGAATGATAATAGGTGATGGTAGCAAAATAAACAATATTAATCTGTAACTTATTCAGACATGGGCTGAAATATACAGTAACATTTGTACAACTTATAATATACCAAAATAATTGTCTGTCTTCTCAATCCAAATAGCAGATTTGGATAATTTCCTTAAAACTTTGCATCACACTCTTTTTCCATTTATGATGTTTTTTTTTTATTGTTGTTTGAAAAGATTAAAAACAGATTTAAAAAAGTCTGTGATTGCTGATAAATATTATTTACCGAAGCAATAAGACCCTGGTTCCTTACTTTAAATCTCATCAAAGTGAGAATGTAGCATTCCTAAGATAAGTAGAAACTGACTTGTGGACAATAATGTGACAAGGCAGGGAGGTTGGTCCATTTTGAACCTGAAAAGTCAGGTTTGAAAAGATCACAATTGCAAATATGCATGCAATGGAGCCAATTACTTTTAAATGTTTATTATCAAAGGCATTGCAAGGTTTCTCCAGTTCAAAAAGTTCAAAACAGATAAAGACTAGAAAAACATGCTCTCCCAAACCTCAAACAACATAAGATTACCACTAAGAGTGTTAGGTTCCGTGTTTCTGTGTGTTTATTTTTGAGTTTCTCTGTGTTCAGTCCTGTGTTCCTGTGAGTCTCTGTCCTGTCCTCCCCGTTGATTGCTCCCCAGGTGTGTCTCGTTCCCTTAATTACCCCGTGTGTATTTAAACCCACCTGTTGTCTGTGTTCCTCGTCGTGTCCATGTCTATAGTCTTCTGTTTCTCTGTTAACGTCGTTCATGTGAAGTTTCTGGGACATTCCAGTAGAACTGCCAAGTCCTGTTTTGTGCCCGCTTCTCTGTAGACCGTTTGTACTTTCCAGTTGAACTGCCTAGTCCTGGTCTGTACTAGCTCCCGTGAGTCCCATATGTCAGTTGCTACCGGTATTAGCTGTGTGCTCGTTTGCCGTGCTGCCTGTCCTGGACTGAGAGCTTACTATCATCATTAAATTCATTATTTTCACCATAACCTGGGTTCGCTGCGTCTCTCCTCACCACCATCAACCGCAACTCATGACAAAGAGCAACTAAAAAACAACTAAAAACTATAGTAGTCAAGATCAAAGACATTTTTTCCCTATATTTGTCACTTGTTGGGGTTTATTCCTCCTTAAGATATTCATTAGGTCAAAGCTGTATGAAACGAAGGATGATTAGGGATCAGTAATGATGGGTGGCATTAGCCCTGCCAATTTTTAATAAAATTAAATCCAGTTAAATTCAGTTGTAATGCAATCCTGTCTATTTTTTATGAAGATGTACTTTAGTGTGGTTCCACAGTGTAAATAAAAATAAAATATATAAAGCTAATTTAAAACAAATATTTGAGTCATACAGAAAAATTCAGATTTAAATATTGTTAAAGATTTTATGGAACAAAGTGGAAAAAATATGTATATTGATTAGGGATTGATAGATTCAGTGTCAGAAAAACTGAAATATATTCATTAAGACTCAAATAAATAAAGATCAGCGCCTTCAATGGCTGCAGGACCAGATACCTTGTCTTCTTTGGATGAGCTGCATTGAAATTAAATTAACAATAAAAGTATTCTGATTGTGATGTACTGGAAGTTATACATTTCTACTAGAAATATCGCAAATAGTCAATATTTTACAATATTTTATAATGTATCAGTATCGATATTTAACAAATATATTTTAAAATCATTCGAGGAAGATTGATTTTCAATGTTTTAAATTTTCTCACCATTTCTAAGTTGATTATATATTGCCACAGTTAGCAAAAACGTGTTTTACCTACCTGCCAGTTTCGTTGATTCATTGACTTTGCAGTAATCCCTCATCCAAGTATTGGGCGACAGTGGAGAGGAACCATCCTTTACAAGCAGAACCAGGTTTAGCAGGAGTCCCCATCTAACACAACCGACTGTTGGTTGAGATGATAGAGCAGCAACCAGAAAGCATGAAATTGTTGGTCTAGGAGTATTTTTTATTTTGAAGATGATGTAAATACACAATTGGATCAATGATGTTTACTGAGGAAATTAATAAATCAATATATTTCTATACAATCTTACTTTCCAAAGACTTAAATATTAAACTTTGCACGAGAGTTAGTTTGTCTTTCTACATTTCTGTAGATAGAAACATGAAAAAAAATAAAAGGACAGAGGGACATGCCAGTGGAGTGAAATGGACAGTTACATAAAAAGATCTGGTCTGCCAAACATGCAGCTTTATTTTTCGTCATGTATTTGTGTGATTTTACAGGTGGTTGAATGCAACACTTAAAAGCCGTGTCAGATTTTGTTCCAATCCTCCAAGGGCACATCTGCAGAGAGAATTACGAGTCGCCAAAGGTCACAGATTGTAGGAGCTCAGGGCCCATTGGATGGATTTTAGAGGAGGGGCATTAAATCCAGACAAATGACAGCGCTAGGAAACAACAACATACTACCAAATGTTCTCTCAGCCTTTCATATTTCTTATTGATATACAGTGTTTTATGCAAGATGTCGACAGGTATGTTGACACTTTGTTTTTAGGATATATGTTGGATTTCGGCAGCCAGAGCTTAAATTGTAAATAAAATACAGACTCATTAACTGCTGGTTTTGTTTAGGGAAGTCTAAAATCTAAATCTAAATATTTGTCAAATAAAGTAAATTTTTGTCCTCTTTTTAAAAATGTTTAGATCATTATTTTTCTGACCATCAGAGTTTTTCTCTTTTCCTCAAAATCTGACATGCCAATTCCATTTTGATTGATTTATATTTTTCTTTCTTTTATTTTTTTATAAAAAAAAATTAAAAAGACAAAAAAAAAGTGCTGCAGGATTTTAGACAGAAATAGTACTTTTTGATTCCAACGGAAAATTAACCGTTTACAGGGTTATCCCTTCTGTGAGTTTAATTATTATTAAACTCACAGAAGTGCACCATATAGTTCATGTTAGGTAATGCATTTCTGGACAGAAAATGATGGGAGCTCTTAGATCTGATGAATTCAGTAAATAGTAAGACATTTTTGAAGCTCTAACCAAACAAATCAATAGACGCCAGTAAATATTCAGGGTCTCTCTGTCTGTAGATGAGCTCCGGAGTCCTGCCTCTGTCTTGTTTTCCTGCAGCTATAGATGTGCTTCCCTTCCCTTCCCTTCCCCTCCCCTGAGCCCAAATAGGAGGCCGTGCCACGCTTGGCTCGGGCTGCACAGTCTCAACAGCGAGGCAGAGCTGCATACTGCAGAAGAAGCGAGGCTGAGGCTGCTGAACCGAGCACTCACAATGGAGCGCCGAGGGAGGGGGAGGGGAGGCGCATGCAATGCAACCTGGGAGTCTAGTAGCGGGAGTGGTGGGAGTGAGGGAGGGACAAAAGAAGGGAGGCAGGAAAGGGAGGTTCTCCTGATCGGCGAGGATGGAGGGGAGAGCGAAGACATGGATGGATACGGACAATGCTGCGGTGTGCATTGTGTGACATTCACAAAGAGTGTAGCTTTCAGGCCTTTGGCAGGAGGAGGAAGAGCGACGAGGGGAGAGGAAGAGATGATGGATACAAGAGCCAACGATAACAGTGGCTGCTGTGGACATTCGGACCAGTACATTGTGTTTCATCATTGCAACTAAAG